TTTGGTGAGTTGTCTCTATTCTGTTTCTTCTGGCAGATGATCCATGGTGACAGTCACTCTTTTTTTGTTTCTTGTCAGCACCATCTTTGTAGGTAGCTCCAGCTGCTTTATGTTGATAATTCTGGAGTTGCTTGTTGGTGACAGATTTGCACTCACTCCAATGTCCCACATTTTATAACAAGAATAGCATCTCTTCTCCCATTTGTCTGTTGACTTCTTGTCACCTTTGGTGGCATCCTGCTTCGGGTTATACACCCGTGGTTTTCGACTTTAACTGGTTATTCTTGGGCTTGCCAGTTATACTCTCTCCATGGGCTTCCATATACTGTTCTGCCAGCTTGATCATCTCATCCATGTCTGTTGGTGCTATCTTCTTTAGGAACAGTGACATGTCAGTGGAGTACGTGATCATGAACTGTTCATGTATTAGTTGATCTGCCACTCCTTTAAACTATATTCACACTTGGCTATGTCATTCCACCTTGTGAAGTATATCCATAGATGTGCCACAAACTTTCTATTAACTTCTGTCAAAAACCTTCCTTGTTAAATTCATAACATTTCAGCAGCACTTTTAACTTGTCATAGTCTGTGGCATCTTCTGACGTCATGTCTGCATACACCTGTAGGCCTCTTTCTCTAAGAAGGGGTTGAGACAGAGTGCCAAGTCACCTTTGTCCCACTTCTAACTTGGGGCAAATCTTTCATACCTCTCCAGGAAAGCACCCATCTCATCTTTCTGTTCATTACATTTGGGCAGCTTGGATTGGATGGCCTTGACCCCATTGTCATTCTTGGGTCTTTCATCTTTCTGTTGGGTGAGCTTGATGATCTCGATTTGTGTTCTTATTCTCTCTGTTTCTAAACTCTCCTCTTCTTTTTTATCAAATTGTGCTCTTATTCTCTCTCTCTCTATTTTCAGTCTCCCCTTTCTCTTCTTTTTTATTCATATTGTGCTCTTATTCTCTCTCTCTCTCTCTATTTTCAGTCTCTCCTTTCTCTTTTTGTGCCTGACATGGCCAGATGGTTAGGGGTCTCGACTCGCAATCTGACGGTCACGGGTTCAAATCCCTGTCCTACCAAACATGTCCGCCCTTTCAGCTATGGGGGCGTTATAATGCGATCGTCAATCTCACTATTCATTGGTAAAAGAGTAGCTCAAGAGGTGACGGTGGGTGGTGATAAATAGCTGCCTTTCCTCTAGTCTTTCACTGCTAAATTAGGGACGGCTTGTGCAGATAGCACTCATGTAGCGTTGCACGAAATTCAAACCAAACTAAACTTTTTCTTCATTCTGTCTTTCTATTTCTTCCTCTCGTATCTGCCTTTACTCTTTTTTGTTGATGCTCTTCTCTTTCTAGGTCTTGTTGTTGTTTATCAAACTCTCGTAGGTCACCATCTTTAAGGCCTAGTCGCTCATACCTTTCTATCCACTTATTAAAGTCAGCCGACATGGTTTCATAGCGTGGTGGTAATGTCTACAATATTTTCGCCACCACTACAGGCCTACTTTGCCCACTATTGTTTACGTCTACCGCCATTTACCACTGTAGGTACAAGCTGGCTCACCAGTGTCAGGATTTTATGTATGTATGTATGGGCCGGATTCTTTACAGTAGATGTTTGTGACTTGTTGGCGATAAATTTCAACAATAAACAAATAGCAACACAGTCCATCTGTTTTACAATAATAAAGTAAAACAAATCAAAGGAAGTGTGCAAAATGATTATAAAATCAAGATCAAAGATGTGTAGAAATATAATAGTAACAAGATTAAACAAGTAATTGAAAATACATCAGTGCCAGAGTAAAACTTCTGGAAAGTGAACTGATAAATGCAAATATTAAACCAGCTACACATCTTTCTGCAACAACTCAAAACTTCCATTCTCAAACATCATAAACTATGCAATATGGAATAAAAGAACCCATGGTGTCTATACACCAGTTATCACTGATGTTTCGCCACCTATGACTGCAGTACCTTCACCTTCCTGAACTACTCCAACTACACCATTCCTTTATCAAGTTATTGAATTTAGCAGGCCAGGTTAGTAGCATCTCTGAGTCAAAAACTCAAAAAATTATGATGGAACAATATGTGTGGCATATAAGAAACAGTCTGAAAGAAGTTCTAAGTTAAATGGGTGATGAAGTGAACACCAAACTATTATCTTGCTACAAAATGAAAAAATACCACTAATAACAACACTAAGCAAACCTCTAACAGAGAGTCCAACAAATAGCAAACATTAAAAACTAATTTATCAAATAGATTTGGAGTTGTATTTCAGTAGGAACTTTCCAAAGCAAAGTTTAAGAGCATTGTAAAGATAAAGGATGAGACCTTAGCTAAGCATGTTGAATATGTGAAAGGACTTGCTCAATGATTTTATCCAGATTCTCTATGGGAAAGGGTGGCTTTTTTTCGGTTCATAACTAATTCGTGTATGCCATGGTGGATATTGATATGTAAATTAGACTAAAGTAAAGTATGTGTGTTATTTTTCAAGGAAGCCGACCAGTTGACAATGAAACTTGTATCAATTAAAATGGAAAATATACAATTAAAGCATTAAGGTAAACCATATACCAAAAACTAAAGACAATAATCTTCAAGAAATCAAAGCTCCTCACAAAATTGAGAAAAGGGAAATTATTTTAGCTGTAGAGAACAGGGACATTACATTCAAGACTGATGTATCAACCATTAAAAATAAACAAAAAAGGCAATATCCTGAAAATGTGAATACTTCATCTGCCTCTATTGCAATAAAGAGTGCATTATTATATATAAACCAACCCATGAGTCAACAGCTTCATTAACGAGAAGCTTTGCAACATGTTGATTGACATTAGTCTTACAGCTACCATTGTTTGACTTGACTTGTTAACGAAAGCTGAGAAATTGCTTCCAGAGATTGAGCAAGATGGATTGACTGGAAAAGCAAGTGGCTATTATCTTCAATTAAGCTGAAAGTTGGAAGTCACTCTTACTGCAGGAAACTTTTCTACACATCGTGAAGTGTGGATAATTGACAATGAAGAAGCGTGAATGTTAGGAATAGACTTAATGTAGAAGCACAGATGTGTGATTAGATTCGCTTGAAACATTTTTTAAATCTATAACCAAGAAGTCCCTGAGAACTACATGACAAGTATACCACCGAAGTTAAACTTCTAATGACAACAAGGATTGAAGCACAAAATAATAAAAACAACCAACTTAACATGCGACAGAGCAGTATCAAGAACAGACGACCCAAGCTGAAAGTTGTTGATCAGGATAATTATTGAAAACACATTGGAAAACAGCCAACTGGTTAACTTCAAAGACTACATGATGAAGAACCCCAGATTTCTGTTGAGACCACATACAGAGTATCACCAGAAATGGAGCCACCAATGGATTGCCTCGACCATCTACCTGAAGAGAGCACCTCTACTTACAAGACAGTAAGTGCTGATAAAAGACCAGATGTCGTTCCATCTTTGCACTGTAAGTCATGGAAAAGAAAACCACCAAAATGTTTGACTGGACCGTAAATGAGTAAAGAAAGCATATTTTGTTTGCTAATCAAAATGTCGATGGTACAAACAAACCTCATACGTTTTATTAATTATTTAATGGTACTAATTTTCATTTTTACGAACACTGGTTTTTTTGGATTGTCCAAACTTTTTTTTTTCATTATGGAAGCTTAAGTTTAATGTACCTTTTTTTTTTGTGGGTGTGTATAATAGGATTGCTCAAGGGACTTCACAATCCAGGGAAGGATCAGTGCTGTAGGCTATGTTTATTTTAATTTCGAAATTTGTATATATCTTTTATTCAGAAGGAATGTGACGTCATGTGAAGATCACATGTTTAACTAGAAACTTCTTCAAAGTTTAAGAAGTCCCCAAATGGCTTAGGAATAAGCCCCTGGGCTTATAATGCTAAAAATCGATACCCACGGTAGAGAAAGCCCATTGTGTAGCTTTGTGCTTAAATAGTGGATGATTGATTACTGAGTTAGTAAATTTGTTAGACAGTTTGTCTGTTGCTGTCAGGAATTTAGTCAGTTAATTTAGTTTTGTGACATTGAGTTTGTGTTTATTTGCAGTATTAAACATACCAGAAGTACTGTAAGTACGAGAAAATTAACAAATTAAATTGTTTATTAGCACCTTCTATGATTTACGTGCCTATCAGCGAACATTAGAAAAACTAGAACTAGAACTGGTAGTCGAAGAATTTAAATGTTTTTGTTATCATTAAACAGTTTGAATTTGCATTTTTTTTTCAACTGAATAATCGAAAAAGAACCCGTCCAACAATGGAAACAATAAAGAGAGGCCTTGCAATGACGTAAAATGTCAAGAGGTCTAAAGTTTACTTTGTTATCTGATGCTGTAAATCATCTTAGCAGTGGCGATACCAAGGGGAGGCGAAGAGCAGCACGCACCACACCTTAAATTTCTTTCCCTCCTCTACAGTTTTCATTATAAAAAAGTTTAGTAAAAGCTACATCTCCCAGAATACAATGCTTTTAATTACTAGGCGACCCTACATAAAGAAAACCCAACCAACAAAATATTATCCAATTTCTGGTTACCCTATTTTGTTTTTCAAGTTACTTCCAGTAAGAATCAAGAAATTGACGAAGCTATTCAGCAGGTTGAAACGTGAGCACCGGTCCAACGAGAATATTAAATTGGAACAGTAGGCCGTTACAGCCGCTAGAGAAGGTGCCTATCATAGTAAACAATACAGTTTTGTAACTCTTATTAACGCATTTTAAACATAACATAATGTTTAGGGACAACAAGGGACCTATTGGTCCATCTCGGTTGTCACATCGTTTAAACTAAACTAAAACTATTAAATATATAAATATAAAAAAATCTTAAAGACAGCCCTTATCATTCATATAGTTATCAAGCTTTCTCACTCACTCAAATTCATTGCCTCCACAATATCCGAAGGCAACCCGTGGCAGAGGCTAATCACCTTGTTAGAAAATTAAACTGTCTTAGCTGAAGTTGACTCCTACCTTGCCAAAAATTTATAGTTGTGTCCCCTACTCCTACTATTCTCGCCGTTAAGTATGAAAAAAGATGACGCATCAACATTATCAATTCCCTTTACAATCTTAATCACCTCAATCAGATCAAGAAAAAACAATTTCAAACATCTTAATCTTTCCTCATATGATAACCCTTATTTCCCAGGCACCATTCTAGTAACCCTTTCCCGAACCTTTTCCAAGAATTCAATGTTCTTCCTAAGGTAAGGAGCCCAAGACTGAACACAACACTCCAAATGTGGCCTATAACCAGTGACTTATACAATGAAATTATAACCTCTTTAGACCTGTATTCAGTATTTCTGTAGATACAACCTAACATCCTACTTGCCTTACCACTAGCAACAGCACACTGCTTGGATGGCTTAATTAAGAGACTGATCAATCATTACACCAAGATCCCTTTCTTTCATGACACTGTTACGGTTATTCCCATCCAAATTATTCTTATAATTCAAATTAAATCTTGTTTTATATATCTCTGCTATGAGCTTCCATAAACTATTCCATAAAGTTATATTTAAATTTTAAAATGTTCACTGAGTATAAGAATATGATACTGATTTAATTAATTAAGTAATTAATTTTCAGTGTCAATGTTATACCTCAATGAAAAAAGGCGCCGAATCGATAAAGAATCTTGTACAATAGACAAGCGTGCTTGTAATATTAATGAAAACATTACGCAGCAAAAATAATCATTATTTCTTAAAGAATCTTAATTTATCATGTAACGTGAGGTACACGCGAAGGATTATGTTTATCTGGATAGACCGAGACTATGTTTCTTTCACGTAACAATTTGTTGCTGAATGCACTGTATGGAATTTCTTTGCTTTCCTTCGTATTTTTGTCACTGCATCTACAACTGCTGCTGATATTGGTGATGACGGTGTTGGGCCCTGAGCAACAGTCCTTTTTGCCCATTGGGTAAAATGGTCGTGCATGAAGCTATAAAGTTGTATAACTGTCGTAGCTGTAACAGTTAATAATTTCACCCTTCCATAACTATAGTATTGTTACGTCTCCGTTTGTTAATTGATTTTCTGTAACTTCGTTCCGACGAAACTTAAGCGACACAAGTTCTTTCTTAATAAAACTGGTTTATTCTTTCCGGATATAACTTTACCGATACACTTAACTTCAACAATCGCGCTAAAACAAACGCTAATCAACGAACGTCAACAATACTTCTGACTGCAGTTCAATTACTCACTATCTATACACACACATTACATTATCCTCCCGTCACGTTGTCCCCTCTTATATATATACCCG